TCTTGCGACTATCCCTTGATTCCTCTGTTTTAACTGGAGCGACAGGTATAAACGTTTCTTGGGTGGAGAATGGCTCGTGCTGGTTATAGACCTGAAGTCACTCACAGAGTTTTCTTTAAAAAGCAAAGAAATGAGGCGGTTTTTGGTGCGCGCTTTGAGTCACGTTCAGGGATCTTAATGAACACATGACGGCTATTTAGTTCCAATTAATCATCTCTGACCCTTGACCAATCAGAAGATCTGTTATAAAACCTGAGCAGTGTAATAGAAACAGCTGCCAATTCTCGAGATTAATGCTTGCGCTTAGCCGCTTAGCCTTGGTTCTAGAGAAAAAGTCACGCAATGATTAATCCTGCCAATTCTTTCTCACAACTGACCTCACTGAGGCTTTACAAATGTAAAGCGATGTCAAGATTATTGCGTATTTTTTAAAAGTACTTCTAAAACTACGTACGTGCTAAATTGCCATCTTGTAGCTTACTCAAGGTTAAGTGGTTGAATGTAATACCTGTGAGAAAGTATAAAAAAGATCGTGTTTTAGCTACTTTCTGTTCAGTGTACATCGTCAATCTGTCCAGATTGTGACCCTTTCTCAATACGAAAGCATGTTTTCATTAAAGGGAGCTATACGCCGCTTATAGTTTTAAAAAACATTTCTTCCCTTACGGCGATGTGTGTGGGAAAACTACGTGTTTTATAATCTGTGGCCCTCGAGAATTCATTTAGCCCCTTCTTCTATTGCAGGGATTTTCACCACGAAGCTAATCTTGTCTGCCGAAAGACACTTGTTACAGGTTTTCTGTTTAAAATGCCGAGCAAACAAGGCATTTGGGCCACTGCACTCTCTTAGGACTAGTTCAGACTAGCGACAAAACGACATGAGCGACAAAACGAAATAATGACATAACCGCACAATCGCTTTTGTCGGTAACGTGAACATCGACATAAAGACATAAGGAAAAGATCTTTTTTTTTCCTTTTGTCGTGATGTTCATGTTATGTGGCTATATGATGTCGTTAACGTCCTTCCTATGTCGTCAAGTTTATGTCGTTGTGTCGCAAGTGTGAACTGGCTCAGGTGCCTCAGTTGCATGCCAGTTTCTACATAACCCTATTAGCACTGTAATAAGTGCTACTGGCTCAATCAATCTTGGGCTGTACATAGGTCAAGAGTACACAGTACAATCGTCTCGATCGTTCTTTTAAGAAGAACGTTTAAATGTGTTGCAGTTTTCGTTAACAGTTGTTTGAAAATGTTTCGGTGATACTATAAAGCTCGGTTTCGCCTAACAA